CCGGAGGAAACCCACGCTTGCATGGGGAGAACACGCAACTCTACGCAGAAAGGCCGCAGCAGAGTTTCGAACCTGCAACCTTCGTGCTGCGAGGCAACAGTGCTAACCACTGCGCCACCATGCAGCCCACTAGGATTGAGATATAGGGGGGGCTTAGCTCCAGGAGCTTGACCTTGAACATTTTTTGTCACACCCTGCAAAAACTTAGTCAATTCATTATCTGAAGAACATTTAACAAAACCTGTTATTTTATCACTTTCTTTTCCTTTCCTACCTTTGTGCATTTTCTCTCTTCTTTTTATAAAAAATAACACTTAATCAGTTCATTAGTGGGGTCTATGTTGAAGAAAGATTTTATATAAGTCCATTAAAAATTAGATATGTTATATTTCCAAATAAAGCTATTCTTTTCAGTCTACTGCACTTAACAGGGGGACATGTTGTGGTCATTTATTTGTTTAATTACTAGAGGTGCTGAAAAAAATCTATTCGAGTCTGAATCAGGATTCTTATTTATAACGATTCAGAATCGATTCACAAAGGTTCAGAATCGATTCCAAGAACTCAAATATTTGGCATGTTACAGGTTTGAGATGCACTTTTTTGATCTTTGTTAGGAGAGTCTGTACTCCGTTTACTTTTGTGCTCCCATAAATTGAGATGATTTATGTTTGAATCTGCTGATAAGAGGGCACTTGAATGTCATTTTTTCCATACTCAGAAATTTGAGATATTCTCATTTTTATTTTCTAAGTTGATACATGAGTACTCAGGATTACTCATGTAACTTGTTTCTACACATACTTGAAAAGTATTTGACCGTATTACTTTCAAAGCTACTGTTAGGTAACTACAGATTAGTTATATTTTACAAGGTAAGCAAAAATAAATGTTGCCTTTTGGTCAAAAGATTGTTTCTGTTCACAGTCTTAGAATCACTTTAGTTTACTTTGTAAATTTGCATTTTGGAGCATGACCAGTTTAAAGTCAAATAAAAACGTCCCATAGCTTTAATTAACTTGTACAACAAAGTAGTTCATCCTGGAGCTGACACTCTTTGTTAATACTGATTGTGAATCGATTTAAATTGAAAATCGAGAATCGATTCTGAATTGAATCGGCACCCCAAGAATCGGAATCGAATCAAATCGTGATTTGCTCTAAGATTCACATCCCTATTAATTACAACTTGTTTAATTATAAATGTTACTGAAATGTGACAATAAAGAACAAATGAATAATCGTCAAACTTTTATTCTGCCAAATGAGTGTGCAGTTGACAGTTTTAATATATGAATAACACTGCTATGATATGGAATAAAGGAGTGTGTAATTAACAATTACAAGACAAAATAACAGTATATATAAAAATACCCAGCAAGTAGAACTTATAATACAGAAAGTCAACTATACAGATACAACTTGACATAAGGTTGCAGGTCAGATGATAATTATAGGGTTTTTTTTCTCAAGGTCTCTTACCTGTTCAAAAAAAAAGTTAAATGGAAAAAAAACGGACCTAATGACGTCAGCGACCTCCACCGAGTTCAGCAGGTCCTGAAGAGACAGTTGCTTGGTCGGAACAACAGATGGAGATTGAGATTAAACATCTGCTGGTGTCTACAGACACAACAGTCCAAGAAAAGAACATTTTTGGTTCCTCGAGGGGCTTCAGCTGATGAGAAGACGCATCAGATTTTGATGCAGGCATACATAGTTTGTGTTTTTACAAAGCAAATTCCTCTGAAACAAGCCAGAAGTTAGTATCTGTGCTCTTTGTGAAATGACACCTTGCTAGTACCGGGTTGGACCCGCTGTTGCCTTCAGAAAAGCCTTAATCCTTGTGGCATACTGTAGATTCAACAAGGTACTGGAAACACTCCTCAGAGATACTGGTCCATGTTGACATGATGGCATCACACAGTTGCTGCAGATTTGTCGGCTACACATCCACGATGTGAATCTCCCGTTCCACCACATCCCAAAGCTGCTCTGATGGATCGGTGACTGCAGAGGCCGTCTGAGTACAGTGAACTCACTGTCATGTTCAAGAAACCAGTCTGGGATGATTGGAGCTTTATGACATGGTGCATTATCCTGCTGGAAGTAGCCATCAGAAGATGGGAACACTGTGGTCATGAAGGGATGGACATGGTATTCAACACTACGCAGGTGGGTTGTGGTGTTGCAACGATGATCAGTTAGTACTAAGGGGCCCAAAGTGTGCCAAGAAAATGTCCCCCACACCATTACACCTCCACCACCAGCAGCCTGAACCGTGGATACAAGGCAGGATGGATCCATGTTGTTGACGCCAAATTCAAACCCTACCATCTGAATGTCGCTGCAGAAATCGAGACTCATGGGTCCCGGGTCGCTGGGTCCCGGGCTCGCCCGGCTAGGGGGTGGGAGGCTGCGGGCGGGCCTGTGGGCTTGCCGCTGATATCTCCGGGGACTCTGCCGGCTGCTAGTTGTGGCCCCCCCGGGGCGATCCTCTGTGCCTCTCGAGGGGGGCGGAGGCCTTCCTGGTTGCAGTCTCCTTGGGGTTCCTGCGTTCCGGGGCAGCGCCTGGATCTCTGGGACTTGGAGCTCCCCCCGTCTCCTGCGCATCTTTGGGGGGCAGATCTGTGGTCCCTCACACTCTCTGCTGGGCGCTCCTATAGAAAAACCTTAAATAAACAAGCACGTGTACACACACAGGTGCTCACATGGTGCTCTCAAAAGTATGGGCTTGGGCACGTTAAACACATGTCTTAAGACTATGGTGGGCACTTAATGCGTTGTGATTTATTATCGTGATTCTTCAGTTAAGCAATGTTGATTATATATTTCTTCATCAAGTTGACGCAGTGATAGCTAGATCTTGTTGTATTGTTGTTGTGTCCCTTTGTTTTTTTTTTTTGTCTTTTTTCTGCAGGTCTAGAAGCAGACTCTTGTTCATTATTGTTTGTTTTTGTGGAACACCCCCCCCCCCCCCTCTCTCTCTCTCTCCCCACCTTTTCTTTTCCTCTCTCTTTCACCTCTGTCTCCGTGTCTGGTCGGAATTACAAAGCATTCAACAACAATAACAATAAAGTTTTAAGTATCAGGTGTGACATTAAAAGCAAATGCTTTGATGCTCCACCTGAGAGTAAATCTGTAAGGCTTGTCACCAGCATTCAGACATCAATTCTGCTTGCTTCACAGCCAGACAGGACACGGTAAAAAAAAAAAAAAAAAAAAAAAAAAAAAGAAATCGAGACTCATCAGAGCAGGCAACATTTTTCCAATCTTCTATTGTATAATTGTGGTGAGTCTGTGTGAACTGTAGCCTCGGTTTCCTGTTCTTAGCTAACAGGAGTGGCACCCGGTGAGGTCTTCTGCTGCTGTAGGCCATCTGCCTCAAGGTTCAACGTGTTGTGTGTTCAGAGATGCTCTTCTGTTTACCTTGGTTGTAACGAGTGGTTATCTGAGTTACTGTTGCTTTTCTATCAGCTTGAACCAGTCTGGCCATTCTGCTCTGAACTTTGGCATCAAGACATTTTCGCCCACAGAACTGCCGCTCACTGGATGTTTTCCCTTTTTTGGACCGTTCTCTGTAAACCCTAGAGATGGTTGTGGGTGACAATCCCAGAAGATCAGCAGTTTCTGAAATACTCAGACCAGCCCGTCTGGCACCAACAACTATGCCACGTTCAGTCACTTAAATCACCTTTCTTCCCCATCCTGAAGCATTCTGCAGCCGATCGTCTTGACCATGTCAACATGCCTAAATGCAATCAGTTGCTATCATGTGATTGGCTGATTAGCGATTAGCGTTAATGAGCAGTTGGAATGGCACACCCAATAAAGTGGCTGGTGAGTGTGGTTAATATTGTCTTGTTAGGTAATCCCACCATCAGGATCTCCAGCTGAATAGTTGATGATTTACAGCACTCTACTGTATCGTGCATCTAGGTTGGCCACTGTGACTCATTACCTCTGACAGAACCTGGGTTTGCTGATTTTGTGCGTGCATTTGTCGCGTCGCTCGTCTCCCTCTCCCCCGCAACTGTGCGCACATCGCCACAGCTACAAACAACTTCCAGATTTCACATTTAGCAGAAGCAGGGCAAGCAACCCAATAGGAAGGAGCAGAATTTCCCCAAACCAATAAGGCTGCCACAGAGAACCAGCGCCAACCCCACTCAAAGTTTAGAGGAAGGACATCTTTCATATTAAAGTGCTAACATGAAACACGGAGTATTATATCTTGTAAGCTACAGTATTTAAAGATGGCACGACTATGGAACGTCGACCACAGTTTGCATATAAAAATGTAAAATTTCACGCAAATAGGAACATTTTTGGTGAGAAATATTACTGATAAAACTGGTTTGTGAATGTGATGCACAGAATTTGATAAGTACAAATTTTACACACTTGTGGGGCTTTAAAGTGATGAAGTACATGCCTAAATCACTGCAAGTAAGCAGTATTTTTGTGTTTGAGTAAGACCTTACCAACGGATAGCCATTAGGGTCAAAAAACCCCGGGAGCACTATTTACTAGAACAGATCGCTAACCTCCAGCAAAATGGCATCTCCCTTTCATCACTGGAGCGAAAAGGTAAATGTGTAAAACCACGTTTATCAATGGCAAAAGTTTTGTAACCAGCTGTTACAAATCAGTAAATGCATTTTGTCCTCACAGGCTCACGTAGAGGGAAACATGGCGTCTAAAATGGCGTCGCCTAGATACTTAAGACCCGCTTCCACGTATTTTAGACCAGATTTTATGTTTTTTGGTTACAAAGCTGCATATTTCCAACAACTGGGCATCATATAATTCATTTTCACCAACATTTTGATGGATATTCCCAAAGCTTAATGGTAAAAACTACACGTTGTGTCTCATGTTATCTCTACAAGTTTTTCTTTTATTCATTTTGTTTCAAACGTAATGAAGCTAAATAAAAGTTCCCTCAAATCATCTCCATTATTAGACAGACATGGAACTCACATCACTAAGAGAAGCAGAGGTTAGAGGGAAATTATATTTTATTGTCAAACTAAATGAAGGCAGATTACAGGAAACTAAAGTCCAGTTGGTCACGTGTTCAAAAAACAACCACAAAAGAATGAGCACAAATAGAGAAAAATGGCACCAAGTACACCTTATGGTAGCAAAATGTGACATTTTTATTCTCTAATGACAGCTGGCATACAGACAGACACTGCTCACTTTTAAACATAATACACAGGTCTTGTGAGTTAGGTTAGGCTTAGGGTTTCTTACAGCATCAGCACTGTGGAGCTGCTGCTCTCTGGTGGAAAAGAACGAAACAGCCTCATTTTCTTAAATCTCCTTTCTCCTCAGACATTTCAGGACTTCTTGTACTCGATTCTCTCCACCTTGACATCGTCTCCGATCAGCTGATAGACGTATGTCACCACTGTGGACGCCTGAATGTCCATTAAAACAAAAGAGGGGATAATGTTTCTGTAAAGGAAACAGACATGTTTTAGGGCATTTAAGACAGAAAATTGGATTTTGCACATGCACTAATAGAGCATCCAAGGAGTCTCCACTTCATTTATTTCGGTAAGTAAAATTATATTTATGTATTTTAGGGTTACCCTGCCGAGCTGAGCTTAGATTTTAACATGTACTGTTTAACCATGAAATTTAAATGTAATAGGGTAAAACCCAGTGCATTTAACATAATGCTGCACTTTAGAAAATGGGTTGAAATATAACATGTTGGTGGAGCTGGGTTCCGACTATCGGCTTGTGGAGCTCTCGGGAGACCGATGTTTTCCACCCGGTTCTCCCCTCCTCGGCGCATCTCTGTCTGATCACGGCTTCTGATTGCTGCGCGGGCTGTCGGCTTGTGGAGCTCTGGGATGGAAACCTTTCCACCCGGTTCTCTCCAGCGGCAGCTCGGCGCATCTCAGATCGCAGTGGCGCTTGTCTGCTGTGCGGCTGCCGGCTTTCAGCAGCTTTCGGGAGACGTCTGTGTTCCACCCGCTTTTACCCAGCGGTCAGCACGGCGTATCTCTGACTCAGAAGCTCTGGTGTTGTGCACAGTTAACTCCGGTTGTAGCTAGGCTGCTACCTCCGTTAGCTTAGCTCCCACCTCCGCGTTAGCTTTGGATTAGCTTCAGGTTAGCTTGTAGCTAGTTCGACCGGGTGTCGTCAGTTGATCCCAGCCTTACAGCCCCACCATCAGCTCCACCTCTCTTCCCTTTTGTGGAATTGTCTGGGCTTGATGGAACCTGTGACACGGTCAAAATGGCGGTGGTGGCCACCTCCCATTTTAGCACCAAAACTTATTATTGGAGTCTATGGAAACCCATTGTCCAATATTTATATGTCGATGGTACCGGCAGTCCAAGCGGAACGCAGCTCCGGTGGTCGCCAAGGCAAAAACCCGGGCATGGGAGGAGTTCGGTGAGACAATGGAGCAAGACTTCTGTGCGGCTTCGAGGAGATTCTGGTCCACCATCCAGCGCCTTGGGGAGGGGGGGGGGGGGGGAGCAGTGCACTACCAACACTATCTATAGCGGGGACAGTGTGCTGCTGACCTCTACTCAGGACGTTGTGGATCGGTGGGCAGAATACTTCGAAGACCTCCTCAATCCCACCGACACGTCTTCCAGTGAGGAAGCAGAATCTGGGGACTTTGGGTTGGCCTCTCAAATCTCTGGTGCTGAGGTCACTGAGGTGGTTAAAAAGCTCCTCTGTGGCAAGGCTCCAGGGGTGGATGAGATCCGCCCGGAGTTCCTTAAGGCTCTGTTGTGGGTCTGTGTTGGCTGACGTGGCTCTGCAATATCGCTGGAAATTGGGATGCAGTCCCACTGGACTGGCAGACCGGGGTGGTGGTCCCCTTATTTAGAAAGGGGGACCGCAGGGTGTGTTCCAACTACAGGGAATCACACTCATCGGCGTCCCCCTGTGATGCCACCCTAGTGCCCCTAGATGGCCTAGAGTGTTGAGCTGGGTAGGTGGAATCCTCTTCCTCCTCTTCCATGTCCAAGTCGAGGAGGTCTGAGTTTGCATCACCTCCAGCCTCGTCATCACCCGCATCGAGCAGCCCGCTGTCCGCCAGCCCCTCGAACAGAGGTGGTAGCGGGGGCTCCTCTTCCATCAAATCCGCCCAGCTTGTGGAGGCTCGTGGCTGATGGTTGTCACCTGTATCTACAGGCGTGCCCGAGCCAAGGCCTGGGTCCCGGCCATTAGCCACTGCCACTCTAAGCCTCCTTTCCCTGATCTCCTCCGGCATGGAGAAGCAGTTAGGGCATGTCTGCGGGTTAGCCAGCGATGCCTGGGCGTGAGCAGCACCCATGCAAGCTATGCACATAGGATGACGGTCCCTGCCTGAAATAGAAGCCCCACATGACGCCGGGCACAGGCGGGATGCAGCCTCTTTAGCCTTCGGTTCCGACCCGCCCGTCGGGCCAGGGGTGGAAGCCATAGCTGACAATCTGACTCGTCGTGACAAGTTAGCCTGACAAAATGTTAGCAAGCTAGTTAGCAGGTGTAAGTCTGCAACTAAAGCTATATTTCATGTGTAGGGCAACTCGTCGTGACACGTTAGCTGCAACAAAGTAGCTCATTGGAAAATGAATGCTAAATAAGCACAGGACATGCTCGCCTCAACCCGTTAGCTTGAGCCACACTCGCTAATACTACTCTGTCAATGACAACCGAGTAGCAGTAGGAGCAGTTCACCGTGACGCGTTAACTGTTCCTAATGAAGTGTGACAAGTGACTAGAAGCACTTACTCAGCTCAAATCCAGACTGCGTTCGGTGACGTATCCTGACGGTACGCCTGGGAACAGTTAAGCAGCTAACAAAGGGGTTGGCAACCTGTTCCCATCAAAGAGCCATTATTACCCGTTTCCCACAGTAAAGACAACACTGGGAGCCACAGCAGCCGCGGTGTTGTGGGCGGGGCCTACCCTCAGACAGCAGAGAGCTGCTTTAACCAATCACAACAGGTGACAGCAGCCGGTACCGGTCGCTCGTGTACGTCAAAGTTATCTTTCATAAGACGATAATCAATAAAACGATTTATATAAAGTGGATCCAGAAGTTGTAGCCCGTCTCTGCCGACAATATTTTGATATTTTTCACCCTGTTGGTGGTTTTACTGAGCAGGTGCCCCTTTTGTCATACGTTTCTTTTTAAAACATGTTTAGACTGTTCAGAATACAAATCCAGGCTCTGTCACGTTTGATTGTTGTAATTAAACTTTGTAGGTGGGGATCAGAAAAGGATCCGATCATTTTGTTTTTCCCTCATTTACAGCGACGGAGACAACGGCGCAGTGCGCCTGGCTCTGGTGTTAGTCAAGTTTAATTATATCTCGTTGCAACAATTTTCACAAGAAAACAGAACAGTTAAAAGCAGGGCTTGTGTTGTGTTGACCGGACAGTTCCCGTATTTGACCGTTTATTTTGACGGAGAAAGAATAGAAAGAATTACCCCGACGCATGCAGATGAAATGACACTTTATGCGTTTCGCACATCGCAGATGTAGCTAAATCACTCAAGAAACGATTCCCATCTGAACCTCTGAGCTGGACACTGCTCAGCGCAGTTCACTGTCAGTGTGTACTACATAAGGTCCTCAGCGAGCTGAAGATGTGGAGAGGGGCTTGGAGCGCATCTCAGAACCAGAGCGCATGCGAGAAGGTTCCTCCCACTGAAGCGAGTGTTTTCCAAACCCGGTCTCTCAGAGAGACTTGTCACTTAGAAAATGTTCCCTGATGATGAAACTTTGGCTGAATAGCGCTTGTTCCTGTCTCCAATGTGGCGACACATCCAGGAACCGTCTGAGGAGAGTCCCAGAATCTCACATCGTCTTCAGCTCATAAAGTGCCTATGATTACGCACAAGCGTGACCCATCTAGACCGGGTTGGAACTGTTCAGGTTTACGCAGACAATCTTTACATTTAGAATTAGCATACAGGTGTAAAATTAATGCAGTAAAATATAAAGCATTTTATTTAAATATCCAGTCATTATTTACAAGCACAGAGAGCCGCATCAGATGGATGGAAGAGCCGCATGCGGCTCCAGAGCTGCGGGGTGCCGACCCCTGTGCTAACTAAAGACAGCCTGAAAATCGCTGAGGGAGCAAAGTGTAGTTTCTCACGGGAAGAAAGCGAGAATGAGTAGGAGGGGTTGGTTGGCCGTGTATATAGTGGGTGGGCGGAGCCTGGGCACGGCGCAACCAGGGACAGACGTGATGTCTTGGTCACGCCAGGGCGATTCCCCATGGTGAAACACCGAACGAAGTTAGAAAAAGAACATGTTTTGAGTTATTTCACCTTTTTTGGTTAAGAACATAACTCCTCATGTGTTGATAGTTTTGATGCCTTCAGTGAGAATCTCCCAGTGTAAATGGTCATGAAGATAAAGACAACACATTGAACGAGAAGGTGTGTCCAAACGTTTGGCCTGTACGGTGCACGGCTCCTTTAGGCCAGGTCTTACATTTGCTACATGTGATATTTCTTTAGTTTCACCAGACAGAGGAGGAAAGCCATTCCGGGGTGACATTAATTTTCCTGAATTCAAAATGAAATTTCAGGAATTTTGAAGTATGTTTTAGTGTGAATGTTAAAAATAATAACATTAACTTCCTCAACCTCAGTTTAAAAAACAGCCTTTACACTTTTGTTCTGTTAGGTACTGTGGTGCAAGTCTGCTCAAACCAGAGAATGTGGGGTTGGTTTACCTTTCCAGTGGACTGTAGGCTCCAGTTGCAGAACCTGGGTTGATGTAGAACTTGTTTTCATTCTCAAATGCTTCAAACTTGTGTGTGTGCCCAGAGATGAGAATGTCGACATCCAGCTGTCTCTGAAGCAGTGCCAGGCTGGCCATGTCGCCCCAGGGGACCACCTGGTGACCGTGAATGAGACCGATCTTAAACTGGCCCACTGTGACCACCTTCTGCTCTGGGTAGTTCAGGTTCTAAGAAAAGAGCACACAAAGGAAAATATGAACTGAACAGGAATCAAGTACAACAGGTAAATCCTATGAGACTAGGGCTGTGTGATATAAACATTTCTTACCACAATAATATTTTTCCTATCAGTCAATGACAATTTTTAACAATCTTTAAAAGTCCACGTTTTGGAGACGTAGTGGAGATGATTGTGGACTTCAGGAAAGTCACAGCCCCATCTCTCCCCCTCGTCCTGACGGACACCCCCGTCACCACTGTGGACTCCTTCCGCTTCCTCGGACCCACCATCACACAGGACCTTAGGTGGGAGCCATCCATCAGCTCCCTGATCAAAAAGGCCCAGCAGAGGATGTACTTTCTGCGGCAGTTGAAAAAGGCCAAGCTGCCGGCCCAGATGATGGTGCAGTTTTACACGGCCATCATTGAGTCCATCCTCAACTCCTCCATCGCTGTGTGGTACGCTGGAGCCACGGTGAGGGACAAACATAGACTGCAGTGCATTGTGCGCTCTGCTGAGAAGGTGATTGGCTGCAGCCTTCCATCTCTCCAGGACCTGTACGTCTCCAGAACTCGGGGGCGTGCAAGTCGGATAGCAGCTGACCCTTCTCACCCGGGTCACAGACTTTTTGAGCCTCTCCCCTCAGGCAGGAGGTTACGGTCCATCCAGACCAGAACCTCCCGCCATAAGAACAGCTTCTTTCCATCTGCCGTTAGACTTGTGAACAGCTTATAAACACACAACCATGCTCATCTTCTGTACTCGACACGTCATGTTATCGGCCATGTTACCATTACCTGCCATTTTTTATCGCTGAAAGTTTTATTCTAGTTTTTTTATTTTATTATATTTTATTCTATTTTTAATCTTATTATTCATGTTATATGTAGCACATTAGTACCGAAGCAAGTTCCTAGTTTGTGAATTGTTTGTTCACTGACAATGGCAATAAACCTTTTCTGATTCTGATTTGCAGCTTGTTACCTCATTTCCTCATGAAAACACCCTCTACGTGGTTTTTAGCTTCATGCATGCATTTTCCTGTTTCAGCGGTCTCTTACCTTCAGCTACGATGAGCTACTGCAAAAGCCTGGACGGGGCACGTTTGCATCATCTGGATCCCTCCTGCCCTAAACACTATAATGCTCACTTTATCTGGGTAGCTAACAGGAAGTTTAATATCCACGTTTGTGGAGAAGTTTATTTCTTTCTTATGTAGTCTGCACTTTAAAGAGCAAGTCACCCCCTGCCAGATTCTTACTCAACTCCCACTTCCTGTTTGAAAAATGCAACAAATGCTGTTGCCTAGTAGACCGAGAGGGCGGAGCCACTAACAAATACACACTCACGACATTGTAACATCATAATGTACCATCTAACATCATAGTGTACCTCTTAGCCAATAGCGATGCAGATTTAAATTCAAATGCAGTGCAGAGTTTTTACCTGACGACGGTGCAACACTGACAGTTTTAGGCAGATAATTTAAATTTTTACGTTATTGACTGAACGTGTCTACGGAGCAATTAAACACTCATTTATATAGTTTATCAACAAAAAAAGTTGATTTGAGGGTGACTTGCTCTTTAAAAAATGCCTAGAATCCAGAATCTGAGAGAGTAACGGGATCCCTTCCTGAAAAAGAGTTGAATCAGTCATCTTCAGGAGCTCTTGTTAAACCATTACCAGCACTGGAGCGGGTTTTCAGACGGGTTACTTGTTCAATCCGATGCCATTCTAGCGTTAACATCACTCGATGGAGGCGTAAGGGAAACTAAAATGCTAACCACTAGCCACGGCTCATGAAAAGCATTTCTTTTTCTCAATAATCCAACAGAAGATATTATTTGATCATATATTGTGTCTTTCGTTGGTGTGGATGACGTAACACAGCATCACGCAGGTCCTTTAAAGTTCCCAGGTACCATTGAGATATCAGAATATTATTTTTTTATTTTTATCATTTGTGCACAAAAGCTGAACAAGTTGAACAATAAATAATATTTTGGACTAATAAAAGAAATTTATTTTAAATTAAAATCTCCAAGCGCCACAGGAGAACGGAACAAAAATGGAAACGTTCTTCTCAAAATCTCTGCTTGTTTTAAACAGAACTTAAGAATATGTGTTTAAAGAGAAATATAAAAAGTATGGCAAAAGTTGCCACCCATGCAAAATAAAATTAGAGCTATATCACATTATAATGTGATTGTTGTTCTAACAATATAATTTTAATTCCTAGAATGTGATGTTCTTATAATGTACAAAATACTGTACCAACATGATTTATAGTGTTAGAACGGATTATGTTGTTCAAATTATTGTGGAAGACCAAGATAACATATTATAAGACCATAAAATTATATTAGAACAATAAATGATCACCTAAGAGACACATTGCTCTATGTTTCTGTAAAAAAGACCAAAAACAAAGTTGCATATCTATGAAAATGTAAGCACCTTTCATAAAAACAATAGACATTTTTTATGTTCAGAAAGAAAATACATTTTAATTCTTTACATCCTGAGCTGGAAGTGGACTTCCGTATGTACAATATCCTGACATGGATTCTAATGAGCCACACGATTGGTCCAGAGCAGAGGAACACTTATAATTGGCTCTTTATATCAACCACTGACATGGACCAGTTCTCACATAGAGGAAACGTTATTGAAAAATATATTGCTATCATTTTATCGCCCAGCTCTAAATGAGACACAAACCTCGTCAAAGTCTCCTCGAACGATGTGGACGTCTCCAGCGAGGGTCTTCAGGTAGTCGTAGCTCTCCTTGGTGCAAAGGTTGCCCGTGCAAAGAATGTGCTGGATCTTCCCTGGGACCAACAGCTTCTTAAACTTGGCTGGCAGCGTGTTGCACCGATGGGGAATGTGCAGGTCGCCTAGCACCAGGACCAACTGAGAACAGCACAAACACATTAATTACTCACTGATGTCTACAGACTGCAAAGGGATTATTTCTGGGAACAGAAACCCGGTGAAGAAGCAGCTGGTGAATTCTGCAGCAGGAAACGATGCACATGGACTCCAGCACGACCAGCGCTTAGAGCTGAAACGTTTCTCATCATGTTTAGAAGCATCCAAACCTGGTCGTTAGTACCACCCAACACAACAAATCCCCCACCAGCTCACATCTGTCAAGTCTATAAACAGGCTTCATTTAGAGCACGCAAACCGACGGTCAGCAGGTGAGAAGAAATCCTTGTTAAAGTGTCTGATTTCAAACTGGCTTGTAAATATTCAAAGAAAATCTTTAAATAAGTTAGTGGTAAAAAACACACACAGCTGGATTTCAGACACTCAGCAACCAAAAGGAAAGATCAACGGAAACAAAGTGAAGGGTTTGTCTTTAAACCATAACTACCCAGACGTACACGACGAATCATCTGGACTTCATTGATTAGTGTTTTATGTTTCTGATGAGTGGCCGAGACGCACCAAACCCCTCCCCTGTGTAACCAGGAAACGGGTAAGGACAGCTGCAGCGGCCAAAATACGTTACATGCATGATCGCTGAGACGAGTGAACAATGTGAGGTTCCAGCCATATTTGCCTTAGAGTGTAATCCTCTGAGTCGTGGATGCAATCACATCATGAATTTAGCTTAACATGACAGACTTCACCTCTGGAGCAGAAATAATTACTTGCCCGCGAGACATTTGTGACACGGAGCTCTAACTCGTAACAGAGAGAGAGAAATTACGTGTTACTTAAAACTTAAAGTAGATCAATTCTAACGAGGACAAAATAAATGGAATCTTCATGGACTTTGTCCAAATATAGAAACGGCTACTCTCGTTCATATCCCTGCTGCTCCTTCCATACACTGTAAATGCTGGAGGAAAGTGCAGCTGAATGATTTAGTGCACAACTTTGGTGGAAACTGAAAGAGTGGACTTATTTTTCACACGGACCCCATTTCTGGTCATTGGCTTGGTGTTTGGTAAATAAAGGACACTGGCAGTGTCTTATGGGATCTTTTTAATTGTGTCATGTCCTGCTGAGAACTAGACGGTTGTTAAAGCCCTAACACATTCTACACAGAACACTCTGTTCTCAATCAGTAATCAACTGTGACTGCGAGGACTTTTAGGCTTTCTACTGCAGGTATTTAACTAATTCTTAATGCACTAGTAAATAACAGCTGAGAGGAAACATATTTTGGCACTAGATCAGGGGTGGGTAATCCTGGTCCTCGAGGGCCGCTATCCAACATGTTTTAGTTGTTTCTGATTCAACACACCTGATTCCTGGAAAAATCACCTGGTCAGCAGCTCAAACAGCCCGTTAAGCACCGACAAATTCAAATTAGCAAAGAAACTAAAAACCTGCTAGATAGTGGTCCTCGAGGACCAGGATTGCCCACCCCTGCACTAGATGAGTGCAGTGCAGTTGTTAAAAGCAGCATCAGCTAGTCGGGTTGAGAGATGCAGACCCCCACAGCTTTTCAATCCAATTCCTGCATTTGCATCATGTAAAACAGCAATAAGAAACAGGAATCTAGTACGTAACAAGCACACTTACCCGGTGACCAGCCTGGTTGGTTGGAGACAGGTATAAAGGGGCGGAGGTGGGAGGCAAAATAAAGAAGGTGAAAGAGAGGAAGAAGGCGTGGGATGTGCAAATAGAGAAAAACACAGGGAATGATCAAAGATTGGGTTAAATAATTAGAAAGAGAACAAAAACAAAATAAAAAGTTGGGACAAATTAAAAATGTGAATGGATTAAACATTAATTAATCATTTGAAGCAAATAAACAATGTGGCTGAGACAACTCAAAATGGGTGGTGGCTAGTGATGATGGTAAAGCCAACAAATACAGGATTTTTTAGCGTGAGTGAATGCAAAATCAGGTGAGAAGGCAAGTTCTGACTGCAGATTAGCTCAAACCACGGATTTCTCTGGGAATAAAGCGCATATCGTAATTTCTAAAAGGACAGTCAACAGGAAACAAGAAAGAACGACGTACAAAGAAAAAGGACAGATTAGTCTAAGTAAAACGTATCAAAACGTTTCAATAATATTTAGCTGGCATGTCCTGGAAACCACTGAGCCTCATCATTCCTGAACTGGAAAAGCCCGAGTTACCTTTAGCTTGTTTCGGGCCTGTTAGCTACCTGGTTTGGTAAACACATAAAGTAAAGCATACACTAATATAGGCAAATTACGGTAGCAGAAGAACGAACGCAGCAAACAAAACAGGATAATGGTGACTTTTTAGTGATTTTAGGGGCTAAATTACTCCGCTGTCATGTGACCGTTGAGGCATCTCAGAGCCAAACTCCACTATAAAAACAAACCTTAAACTTAGATTTCGCGTACGCTTTGTAGACAGGATTTTGACCTTTTTACCCTGACTGTTGACTAATGAGGCGTTTCGGGCAAAAAGATCCTTAAAACGTGGAAAATGGTATTTTTTCGCCATTTCACACTCACCATTTTCTCTGCGACTGTGCACCCAGGTTGAGGAAGCGCCTTACGCACGTATAACGTCAGATTTTCAGCCAATAGGATTCCGACTGCATTAAACCCCACCACCACTTCCTTTTACCCTTTCAAAATACAACCAATGCTAAGGCTGCGCGGTGGGAACATGAATATTTTTGGTCGATTGAAAATAACAGAATAGGCCTCGAATTATTTTACTTATTAAACCATACTGAATACTGATCAAGGTCATCGTGTTTCAAGCAGAAACGTTAATTGGTAGCCCACGCAAATAGATTCTAACTCGTTCAAGCTTTTGTTTTGAACCGTAGTGAATACCGGATGTTGCCGTAATTTACATAAGAGCTAACGTACTGCTTGATAAGCGACGTGAGTAGCTGCGTTTCGCAGAATATTCCAGAGGTAGGTGATAAAATTGTAAACCTTTTGCTCGGCTACAGCTCAGTCTGGTTTGGCTTTTGTGGAAGTACGTTTTTAGTATAAAATCTGAAGCTAACTAAACGCTAATTAGTCATACTATAGATCCAAGTCCGTCGAATGCGTGTTGCTAACGGTGTTAGCTTCAGCAGCGTGGCGTCTGTTGGCCTTGTCAGTATGTGACTTATGTTTGCTGTCCTTAATTTTCCTTTTCCAGTTTTCTTTTAATTTTATGATCTTAGTAAACATTGTACGAGGTGAGATTATTAAATTGTTAATCGCTGTAATTGCGTGTTGTCGTCTTCTCTGTTATGCGACGAAACGCGGGTAATTTAGCCAATTGGCGTTGCTTTTTTATGTTTTCACTGAAGTCCGATAATAAATCTTGTTTCAAGGCCGTTTTCAGCCTGTGACTAATTTGACAGTAACTTCAAGGATGACTTTAGAGCTACAGCGTAATGAACGTATGTAGCTGTCAGGCCACATTCTGTGTGGTTAACGTGTACTTCTTGTCTCTTAAGGTTCACAAACCCCCGAGAGGACTTTCCAGAAGGATCTCCTCTGTGTCTGACACACCGGCGCTGTTCACGTCTTCAGTGTTCACCTGTGCTCATCTTTGAGACTACCTTTTAGAGATCTGCTGTAATCGATACACCGCCAGCTATCGATCACCGTTCACTGCGGCAACTGGACGATTAGCGTTGGGTTTATGTCTTTGTTTTGTGAAAACGGTAAGTTGTAATCTTATTTACAACGTGTTTAATGTTAGATTGTTGCGGTTTTTGTAGAGGTAAATCTGTTTTATGGTGCATCCTGTTTCCTTTGGTTGTGCCTGACCTTATGACGCACTCTGCACCAAGTAGGCAGAAATGAGATGCATCCAGCCACCTCCTGACTTTCCGAAACTACATAATGCTGAACACTGCCCTGACACTGAGTCATTTGATATTTATAATACTGATCTTACTATTTTACTTAGATTGTTGTTTAGTAGGCTAGAGTTGATTGCCAGCTGCCAGGCCTCTCCTTTGACCTACTAAATCGAACAGGCCTAGCTAAGCCAGAAGACCTAACACAATACCAAAGGCACACACAAAGCCAGGTTTGTGAATGTGGGCACAGAAAGGGGTTAAAGCTTTTCTGTGTGTGTGACTTTCATTTTCCTCTTTGGCTCACTTTTCAGCTATGTGGTATTGTAATTTTTGGGGGGTAGAGACACCAGCACAGCCTTTATTCCTGTAATACATCAGATGTTTCATAAAGAAATCACTGTAATAGTCATTTGTTGTAGACTGCAGCTTTTCCTTTCACATTTAACAATAACCTTCACAACATCAAGCTTTTCAGTTTTGGCCAACGGTGCAAAAGCTGTAGACTGCGATTGTATTTGTAGGGTGTCCTTGTTATTGCCTCTTGCGCTTCAGCTTTTTTAGCACCTAAACTTCCAGTTAAGATTTAGCAATTAAAGGCTCTGTATCATACTATTTTTAAAACCGTTCAAAGCAACAATAGGGACTAAAAACCCAACCTCCACCTGTGTGACTGCCAATTCGTGATGTAACCCACAAAGGAAGATGAGCCGCAACGAAGATGGCGAAGTAGAAGAAGGCATCCTTAGAAACACCCAACCCCACCAAAGTGAGTGAACATGTGGTAAAGATGGACGACAAACACAGCTGAAGGCTTGATCTGGACTTGAAAACTAAAACTGAACTAGATTTCTGCGATGTACCGCGGTGACCATGTAGGATGTTGGATGTTTCATATTGGTAGTTTATAAGTTATTGTATATTTTTATAGCGTATTGTACGTACAATATAATAGTTCAAACATGGATAAACATCACATTTAACCATAAATATATTGTAAAACTGTGATTAATGTATGTTGTATAAATTTAGAATTGGTTTGTTGCAGTGTTTTGTGGAATAGAGATTTTTTATAGCCACTAATTCTGTTGCTAAACCCCTGCTTTCCACTGGTAATGCAAGCGGTCACGTAACGTGATAGCGTTGTTCTACCCGTGAGCTTGTTCCCGACTGGGAGCCTTTTAAGCCCTGGGTTAAGGCTGAGTGACCCTCGCTAAAAGGAGACATGTTGGGTGTGTCCATTGGTTGAGCTAACCAGTGTGGCGTAAACCCATCCAGCTGCGCATTATTCCAATAGCAGCTAGCTTAAGGGCTAAGACTAGACGAAATAGAACGTTGGTTACGTATTGTAACCCCAGATTCTATGAGTCTAGTCGCAGCCCTTAAGCCAATGGCCCCACTGGTTCTGTTAGGACTAGGGCTGCAACAAACGATTATTTGGATAATCGATGAATCGGATGGGGTCTCGACACGATTAATCGGATTACATAGGGACATTTTTAAAAACTGCTAGGGAAACGTTATTTCTCTCCTTCCTTCACTTTATTAAACACAACATTATTAGAAAACAGTTCAATAGCAGAAAAACAACATGCCATCACCTAAATTGTCTTATAAGGTGTATAGACAGAGACCCTAAGCTACACCTATCTGTGACCTAAAATGCTTGGTCCAAGTTAAACAGCAATTCTCATCTGTTTTGCTTGATCTCATTTGTAGACATTATAATTGGGGATGTCAAACAACTAATTTTTAAATGTAATTAAACATAGGCTGTGAATTAATCAAAATTAATCACTGTTTCCAAAAATGACTGAAAAAATACCAAATAAAACAAAAGTAAATGAATGCCATCCTCCTTGTGATGATGCCCTGGGCAACTGCCATAAAGTCACATCAAGAAATGCTGCTGATCATTCCAATGATCCCAAATAGACTCACATTAGGCCACATGAAAGCAACTGAACCCAAAAATACATTAACCAGTATATAACTGCACTCTCACACAACACACCTGCAGCAACAGTTAGGACTCCTCTCCCTTTTAAAAGCATTTTCGCCTCTGAGGACATTGTGGTTGTAAAACCACATGGTAGTAGTCTGGCCCTGGTGTGATCAACCAGTTTCTGCGGGAATGTGACGGCGGAACCGGTTCGCAGCAGCGCGGGTGTCCCCCGCCTACCTAATAGCGTCGCGCTTACGATTTTATAGACTTTTTTTTTTTTTTACGGGCTTAGGGCATGTCTAGCGTGTGTAATAATCCGGGGCTTGGGTGAATCACTTTTGAAAAGTTAAATTACCCGGACACCGAGCTCTCTCCTTCCTCGCTGATGATTCTGACATGCTTGCGTTTAAGATGCCGCATCATCACTGTAGTACTCCCGTGCCATGCTATGTCTGACCTACAAACATTGCAGGTAACGAATGTCTTCGCCTGATTTAACTGAAAATGCTCCCAAACTTTAGAAGTTCTTACTTTTGTTGGGTCTCGCTGCTTCTGCCATGTTCCTCTTCCAAACACCTGCCGGCTCTCCGGTCTGCGCGCAACGGCGGGCGGGAGGGGAGGGGGCTTTTGGAAGAGTTGTGCGACACAACGAATCGATGACGCAATTCGTTGCCAACGCTTTTAGTAATCGATTTTCATCGAATTTATCGACTCGTTGTTGCAGCCCTAGTTAGGACTAAGCCATCGGAGGCGAACAGTGGAGTCGCTCCACTTAGGTACCCACAGGGGTGCCCACCATTGGTGGGCGTACATTTAAGCTCTTCATGATTGGCTGATGCTGAGATCATCCTTCCAATAGCAGCTAGCTTAAGGGCTGTGACTAGACTCATAGAATCTGGGGTTACAATACGTAACCAACGATCTTGTAGGCGCCTACGTAAGGGAAACCCTGCTTTATTCTAATCATACTGTGACCATACTGAATGAAATGTGCAGTTTATCCCTTTATATTGCTCCTGCTATCTGTTTTTAATCGGTGTAGTTTTTGCACAAAGGTGCGTTTCAGATGGAATTAACGAGATGTCTCCTACTGAGGATCTACTAAAGACCTTTTTTATAGTATTTTAAGAGACTTTTACAATATGCACATCACGTTGTTATTAGTGAGAAGTATATTAACTGGACTGGATGGTCTCATTTGTAGGTTCTGAGGATAAATCAGCTCATTGATCCTCAGATTACAGCACATCCAAGACATAATCCTAAAATTATAAAACTGAAATGGTTATAATGATGTGCGATAATGGTAAAACAGTCAAGTAAAACATGAATTCTTGGACAGTCCTTGGATATTGGGTTAATGCAAGTGTGTGTGTGTGTGTGTGTGTGTGTGTGTGTGTCAGGTTTATATGTCTATCGACCGACCTCGATTGATCCATCTCAACGTATAAAAACAATATGGACATAGCCTGCCTATTGTTCCACACGAGCAGTTTGAAGCCAAAAATAGGAGGTTCCCACCACTGGAGTTAATTTTTTTAATTTTTTTACCGTGTCGTGCATATCGTCATGCCCAGGCGATTCAAAAATGGGAAAAGAGGTGGAGCTGAGGGTGTGGCTGTTGGTGGCGTCACTTCCTTTTATCTGCCCTCTGCTGCCTGTGCCCTCTCCGCTGATCAGTCGTCCCTGTTACCGGTTCTGGGTCCACGCCTCCTCATCGTCCTCTGCTGCCTGCAGATAAAAGGAAGTGACGCCACCAACATCCGGCGGTTACCCTGACGAAGACGGTAGTGACATCAAAACATGTCAGCAAAGGTAAAAACAAACCCTTATCACATCGTGTATATCGAAAAACTAAAGAATATGAAATCTGAGTTGTTAATGTTGCTGAGTATTAAAATAGTCTCCTACACATCTGTTTCCTGTCAGAAGCTAATGTTTCTGATAGGAAATAGAGTGAAACTGTCAGTGATCTAGTAATATGTGTAATAGCATTTATTTTAAAATAAAGGTCTGATGGTAGTACTTGTTTGTTCTTGGAAGAATTCATAAAAAGTTCTCATTTTGAAATGGATAATGCAATTGTTGTATTTGTATGTTTTTATTAATCTCATGTAGGGCTGCTCGATTATGGCAAAAATAATAATCACGATTATGGTGACTGAAATTGAGATCACGATTATTTAGGACGATTTTTCAATTTATGTTGATTTTATTTGTTTTTATTCAGTCATAAAATTGCTCAGGGCACAATCAGGACAAAAATAAATAAGAAACAAGATGATCACTAAAATAACTCCTGATTCCCAGTATAAAAAGACCAATATACTTATAGCTCATAGTATATGACCCAAGGGCTATAGACCTTGGTTTAACTCATTTAAGTCTAACCAGTACAGACCCAAATACCAATATCTTGCAAATACTGACAGCAAGAATTATACAGCGGCATTTATAACAAATAAATGTAAATAAATTGATGTTCACAAAATGTTGCATAACATTTATTGAGTCGTGTCAAGGTGCTGTAGGAGAGTGCACTAGCACCATGTCCTCAGAGAGATTAGTTATTATTTATCAGCGTGAGGAACTTATTTCTACCTTATTTATAAACTATTTATTTACAAGTCCATCAGTTATTGTAATAATTGTCCCAACCACAGCTGCACCCCCCACCCCCCAACCCGGTCTCAGCAATCCGGGGAAAGCTGCACATGTGTTTAACGCGCCGCACGCGCACATTTAGCTGTTTTTAGTGGCTCAGGAGACCGCAGGTACGGTGTGTGTGTCACTCACTCTGGTTACTCCAACAGGGAGCCGGCTCCGAGAGCTGTTTCTTTAGCGACCGACACATCACTACATCATTCCCTTTCCTAATGTCCTGAAGAACGGTCCGGAACGCAGGCGGAGTGTTTAGCTAACCTGTAGAAAACGTCGACAGTTATCCAGAAAGTAGCTAATGGTTACCAGAGATGTTTCTGAGATGTTCGCTAGGTAATTTTAGGATTAAAAAGTCAAGAAGGGGGTCTGAAAAGCTGCTAGAAATAGCGTCAAAGTCGCTAAGTTGACAACACTGTGAGGAGCGCTTCATTTGCAACTCAGGGCAGCGCAAGCGGGAGGAGCAAATAATCGGCTTGTTTTGTTTTTTATAATCGTTCAAAACTCAGATCGTAATCGTGATTAAAATTCGATTAATTGAGCAGCCCTAATCTCATGCTTATAATTCTTCCCCCCCCCCAAATATTTCTGCCTTTTAAAGGTGTAGTTAACTGAAAAAACATTTTAATGATTATTTTCAAGTCCTGTATGGTACAGCTCCCGTCTATCTGAACTCCATTGTAAAGGATTACACCAGGGCCCAGCCGCTTCTGTCATCAAAGCATCGTTGGCTAGCAGTGCCTACACCACGCTTGGGACAATCCAGACTCGTGTGTTGTTCCACAGATGTGGAATGTTCTTTGGGTGTCTAGAAAAGCGCTATATAAGTTCAATACATTATTATTATAAGCACTACTAGAACAGGGGTTTCCTTGTTGATTCTCAAAACTCTTGAAGACTCTGCTCTTCAGAGAGCATCTTTTAAACTATCACCCTCCCTGCACCCGTTTCCCCCTCTACTGCACAGTCCTTGTTCACTTCCCTGTATGATTCAAGTAGAACAACAACCTCCACTCTATCCTTAATTCCAAAGACAATAACTCTGTCTCATCTTTGTTTATCTGGAGGAACTGTAGCAGCGGGCAGCAGGGAACGACATCAACCTCTGCTGCCCGCTGATAAACAGGTTTAAAATAATTCAAACAGCTGAAATAAACCCCCATTTCACTGCGTCTGCAGTTTAACTTTCACCATCATTCACCAGTCTAAGAAGCAGAAACATTAGTTTACACTCAACATAACCCCTTACGGATCATTACAATATAAAAAACTGTTTTCATACTTTTTCTGGTGTTTATTTAAAACGTCTATGTAATCTATTTATTTGGTTTACTTTTCTGAGCAGTCCATCAACCTCATGGTGATAAATGTTCTAACGCCGGGGACACACCGGCCGCGGAAGCGCCGCGAAAATGGGACCGCCTTCATTCGGCGCCCTTGTTAAACTATTCTATAGACCACATGGGCCGCCAAAGCGCCGCGAATCGCTGAAGTGCCGGCGCTCCAGCCCGCGCCGTGCAGTGATCATTTCGGCGTCTGCTCTATTTTTTTCATGAGCCGCGGGTGAATCGTGTCAATTCTGGCAGGAAGTCAAACCTAGACATAAAAGGCAGGCCGGTAAAGTTAACAAAATAAAGCATTTCAAAATAAAATTCCGCAATAATCAGATGTGTTCGTAATCAGACGCTGCAGAAAAACCACATGAACATACACACATATCGAACTTGTGTGGCTGTGTGACCACGTGAAGGGGGGTGTCTTTTCACCGGAGCAAACAGGACAGAGAGGCAGAAAGTCTGAGGCAAGCAGTTAAGATGGATGACTTTAAATTAATTATGGAAGTTGAGAAATGCAAGGAGCTGTACGACCCCCGAAAAACATGATTGTTTACGTACCCATTTCAGAAGAAACTGCTAGGATACAGCTGCAGAATTGGAGCGGGTTCCAAGAGATTCAACTGGCAGAAACAACTCATATAGGTTCACACACACACGTAGTAGGAAAAGAGCTGAGAAAAGGCAGAGAGGAAATGGAGGACACCAGGTAGTTAAAAGAAAAACTACAGCTGAGCCGATGCGCGCCTCGACTGGAGCGCGTCTGATCTGAACTGAGGAGCGGCGAGCAGCGACCGAATTTCGTGAGCGATTCGCTTCTCGGCGCTTCCGCGGCCGGTGTGTCCCCGGCGTCATAGGGATGTGGTGCATATCACGATACAGAGATGATATTCAAACAGTCCAAACTGATACGTAACATGTTTAACATAAGGTTTCTGAACCATAATAGAAGTTACATTTCAATGGTGGAAACAAAACTCATGGCACACTGCTGCCAACTAGCTGTTGGTGTGTAAATTGCACTAAAGAAAAGAAAATACGCAAAAATTTGCATATACATTCTTCCAAAATTTTGATACAAGGTTTTTGAATATCATCAATACCGCAGGTAAAAAAAAAATCACGATATACTGCCAAATTGATATTTTCTTACTTTACTAATGACAAAGTTGACGTGAGGTGATGAGTAAACGGTGTAAGGTAATCTGTATGCTCCATAGAAACGCAACTCTGCACAAAAATGATGGTGTTTGACGTTCGGCTCGGTTTAATGGCTTTTTTTGGTCAGGCTCTGAACCAGGAAATAGCTGCAGGCAGAAGCAATACCAAGTAGCGGGCAAAAAACTCTAGAACAACTAGTGACGACCCCTCGCCCCCCCAGCCAATCACCAGCCACAGTCACAATGCTGGCCTCACTAAAGCTTGGTTGATGCTTGACGCATTCACTTTCCGCTTGGTGATGCGGCTCGCGGATGGAACGCACTTCACAACTTGCAGCGTTTATGGTTCATGCGGCTCGTTTCTGCGGTGAGCCAATATTCTCCCAAACTGTAGGGGGCAGCATGGAGCTCTACAGCATGCATCCAACACTACACCATAGTAGAAGTAGAAATTACTGTCTACAACATGGCATTCCAGCATTTTTAACAGCGTCCTCGTCTTTTCCGACAGTACGAGCTATTTCTCTCCAAGAATTATTAACATGTTGATCACGGTGATCTCTGAGAGCTGAATCATACAAATGTCTGTATTTACGAACCTCTGCCATACTAGTTCTTGCCAGTCCGCCATGTTTTTCCGCGTCCGACCGTCCGTGTGGTTAGAAATTTTCCTAGGTGCACGTTGCGGAAATTTTGGGCCGTACGGAGACGCGGTGGAGGGGCGTGGTTGTTAAAATGATGCAATGTCGCCGTGCGGACCTCGCGGGCGCGTCAAGCATAAACCAACCTTTAGGCTTACCAGGAATCTCAATCGAGAAGGGAGTAAAAATTGGGGAAAGGGTTGAAAGAAAACGCCCAACTGTGCTCTTGGAAAAGGTGGTCAGGCTGAGCTGCACTAATCTGAGTAAGTCGTAGTAACAATCCTCCTGTTGTGGAGCACCTCCTTCAGCTCACGGGGCAAAGCTAACCACTCCCCATGGAGGTGGGTCAATTGTGGAGATGTAATTTCACCAGTGTGTGATGACACATGGGACTAACTTCTTTTGCAATTAAATCATTGTACATCCCTAGAACAGTGGATCAGAATCATTGGAACTTTTCTGAATTTTTTCTCTGTGGTTGCTGAATTAACCTTCTAATCACTTATACTGTTAACTGGTTAAACTTGTGTTTTGGGATTGTGTTTTTTTTTTGTTTTTTTTTTAACTATAAAGCATTCAGGGGTTTTATTTTTAGGGAATTGATTTCAAAATTGAGTGACTATTGCAAAAGCCCATCTGAAAACATTCTTGATGTGGGTTTTACTAAACTACTCGTGTTTGTCCCTCTCCTTTCAGAGCTGTTGCGCAGCCGTTGGAACCTGTGTGGTAGAAGTCTAACCTTCAAGCAAGGACCTTGCGGCCACAGCGGCACAGCGTTTTTCATGTCAGAGACCGAGCACGCTTGCAGTCGTTTATGTCATCCCTTCTTTTCCAGACAGAAGATCCCGAAAAATCCCCAACCAAGATCCTTTTATCTTACTGATAGTACTAACATTCAGCCAAAATGTCTGTCAACGTCAACCGCAGCGTGTCAGACCAGTTCTATCGCTACAAGATGCCCCGTCTGATTGCGAAGGTGACTACCTGTTCTCAGGTTTCTGAAATATTATGTTCAGAAAAGCTATCAGATTGTGTGCGATGGATTAGTAATGTTATTTCTGCTGTAGGAAAGCTTTTTGATTAAGTCATTTTTCCTTTATTTCCATCAACAAAGGTTGAAGGCAAAGGAAATGGAATCAAGACGGTCATTGTCAACATGGTTGATGTTGCTAAGGCTCTGAACAGGCCTCCAACATGTAAGTAAATGTCATTTAATTGAACCAAGAATTGATCAGTTTTCTACAGCTCTAGCTTATTTAAGTCTTGGAATCCAAACCATGAATGGATGGATTAATGATAGATTAAGACTTACAGACTTCAGTTTTCAACAATAATTTTTAACAGTGTAATTAAGCAGAACAACAATCACCACCACCTACCCGCTACACTGATACTAAAAAATACACATATGATCTTAAAAAATAAAACACAACAACAAAATCACGAATAACAGGCGCATCAAAACTAGGGCTGCAACAAACGATTATTTGGATAATCGATTAATCGGATGGGGTCTCGACACGATTAATCGATTAATCGGATTACATGGGGAAATTTTTAAAAACTGCTAGGGAAACGTTATTTCTCTCCTTCCTTCACTTTATTTAACACAACATTATTAGAAAACAGTTCAATAGCAGAAAAACAACATGCCATCACCTAAATTGTCTTATAAGGTGTATAGACAGAGACCCTAAGCTACATCTATCTGTGACCTAAAATGCTTGGTCCAAGTTAAACAGCTTAAGGGCAATTCTCATCTGTTTTGTTTGATCTCATCTGTTGACATTTATTTTAAATGTAATTAAACATAGGCTGTGAATTTATCAAAATTGATCACTATTTCCAAAAATGACTGAAAAAATACCAAATAAAACAAAAGTAAATGAATGCCATCCTCCTTGCGATGATGCCCTGGGCAACTGCCATAAAGTCACATCAAGAAATGCTGCTGATCATTCCAATGATCCCAAATAGACTCACATTAGGCCACATGAAAGCAACTGAACCCAAAAATATATTAACCAGTATATAACTGCACTCTCAAACAACACGCCTGCAGCAACAGTTAGGACTCCTCCCTCCCTTTTAAAAGCGTTTTTGCTTCTGAGGACATTGTGGTTGTAAAACCACATGCTAGTAGTCTGGCCCCGGTGTGATCAACCAGTTTCTGCGGGAATGTGACGGCGGAACCAGGGCCAGATTAACACTTTGTTGTACCCTGGGCAACAATATTCAAGGGCTCCATCATCACGACCCAAGGATCACCATAATGTGGTCACATACAGAATATTTTACTGTAATATGCAGTAAATATACTCAATACTTGAATGCCTGACAACACGTAACCCGCCCAGAGTAACCTTTGACCCACCACGTGTGGACTGACCAATGAGGAGAGGGTCTTAACTTGAGGCCCTCTCTTCATTGGTCAGTCTGCATGAGACTGACTCTCAACTGACGTTCAGTCGTAGGCAGCGAAGCTTCTCTGTGCAGCGCAAAAGCCCGGGTGGACAGTTTGTTTAATATAGGGTGACCATATTTCCATTTCCAAACAAGAGGACAGGGGATCTGTGCCTATGACGTCACACTATGGCAACGCCACACAAACCATGTTGGGACCCATTTTTTGTAAGAACTAAATTAATATCAGATTCTGCCAATTAAAGGGCTCTAAAACAATTCATATGTAAATATTTTGCATATTTAATGCAAAATCTAATTTTTCTGCTTTAGTGCTGCAAAAAGGTTTTATTAATAATAAATTATTATACCTTTTGTTTTACTACAGCATCGGTAAGCTTCCTGTGCACAGATTATTAAGGATGCTTGTTTCAACTGTGAGATTAGACGATAGGATCAATGAAAAAATAAGTTGTCACAAACTCCATGGAAACTTTCAGAGAATCCACAAATAGTGGCTTTCAAATGGTTTTGTTACTTTTTGCAAGTTTAGAAAAGCAGCAGATGAGACAGCATGTCTGATAATTTAGTTTTTCATCTGATAATATTAGAGCATGTCAGTAATGTCTGAGGGGCTTTTATAAACACCATATAACTAACACTACTGGAGAGGGCATGAATTACACAGAGACTTCTGGGGAGCCCAGTTATTGGGGGGGGGGGGGGGGGGGGGGGGCATTTTGCCTTGGCCCCCAAAATGTCTTGAAACGGCCCTGGGTGTGTGACTGAGTTTTGAAGGTGATCTGAATTGTATCAGATGTATAAATATGACATGTGTATAACTTATTGTTTTTTACTGGTAAAAACGTGTAGTGGAGATAAATCTACCTACATTTTACTTTTCAACACTTTGTTTTGTTTTCTTGTTTTTATTGAACTATTTTCCTGTCCTGTCTGTCTCTCATCTTCCTGCATCTCCTCTTAATTCTCCAGAAAATCTGTTGCCTGGATTCTTACCTTTTCACCTCATCAGTTACTTTTGAGCAGGTCAAAGGGATCTCCTGACCGAAAAGCGCAGAGCGCGTTTTCGATGCTGCGTGAGGTGACATCACCACAGCACAGGTGATGAGCTCCGCAGTAGCGCGCTTCAGGCACAAATAAGACAGAAAATAGAGAACATGTGCGGACATGAACGATCGTGTGCTAATTATAGTCTTTTGGTTGCGCCACTTTGAGAATGGACCGTGCGCTGGAAGCAGCTGCCTGGATCGCTGTGCAACAATGCGGAACCGGTTCGCAGCAGCTCAAGTCTGCCGGCTCTCCCTCGCGCTGATCTGCCTGTACCGGCTCTCCCTCACGCTGATCTGCGGCTCTCCCTCGCGCTGATCTGCGGCTCTCCTCGCGCTGATCTGCGGCTCTCCCTCGCGCTGATCTGCCGGCTCTCCCTCGCGCTGATCTGCGGCTCTCCCTCGCGCTGATCTGCGGCTCTCCCTCGCGCTGATCTGCGGCTCTCCCTCGCGCTGATCTGACTTGCTCTGGTCTGCGCGCAACGGCGGGCGGGAAGGGGGGGCGCTTTTGGAAGAGTTGTGCGACACAACGAATCGATGACGCAATTCGTTGCCAACGCTTTTAGTAATCGATTTTCATCGAATTTATCGATTCGTTGTTGCAGCCCTAATCAAAACACAACAAACCTCAAGCAAACAACATTAGTTCTTAATCTAGTGTTCCTGATCTCCAGGTTTAGTATATGGGACGTTGTCTCCACAATACACTGGTGGGTGAGAATCTTTCCACATGGAAGAATGAGTCTTTGAGCCATTAAACATCAAACGGTGACACATCTATAATTCCGTTTCTGAAGAGGAATTCACTGCAACTGCTCCAAACAAAGCAAAGTGTCAGGGTGCACAGTTGTCCCACAGATGTTGAAGAGTGCATTAAAAATACCCCCCCAAATCCCCTGTAGGTTCAGGCACGTCCAGAACACGTAAAGAAGGGAACTGGATTAGAGCCCGAGGGTTGGGCCGGGCTTTGGGCCAACGACTGTGTAATTACCTCGGACACCGGCCGGGCGCCTTTATTTTTAATCAAATTCATAAAAAAAAACTGAAACACTTGAACGCAGCAGCACCTGCCTGCTTCTCACACACAGTTAGCTCAGTTAAGGTCTGTGTGGTTTATAAATGCGCCTATATAAACAAATTCTCAAACTGCTGATTGAAACATGTGCCCCTATTCTAATATGCCATTTTATGTCCACTTTGATATGTCAGAAACCATTCGTTTATTCTCATGAAAACGGCAGCATTCTATTTTTCTGTGAATAAATTCGCTCTGCAGTTTAAATAAAAAGCATTCATTGCTGGTTTTTCTAACTGCAGAGCGCATTTTCAGAGCGGCAGATTAAATTTACAAACGCTTTATTAATTGGGGGCGTTTATTTAATCTGCCGCTCTGAAAATGCGCTCTGCAGTTAGAAAAACCAGCAATGAATGCTTTTTTTTCTAATTGCACAAGAGCGAATTTTCAGAGCAGATTAAATTTACAAACACATCCAATTAATATAGTGTTTGTAAATTTCATCTGCCGCTCGAAAAATACGCTCTGTTAGGGAAAAAAGCTGCATTGATGCTGTTTTTCTTTTTTACTGCAGAACGCTTCTCACAGAATGCTGAGCATTCTATCGCGCTAAAACATTATGAAAGGTTAAAAAAAAGTCGGGCTTGGGTCGGACCTGAGAATCCCGAAAACCTTTTCGGACCGGGTCGGGCTGGGGCTCCACCCCCTCGGGCCGGGCCGGACACAGGCTCAGATTTTAGGCCCGTGCAGGGCTCTAAACTGGATACTTGCTCGGCTCAAGGATTTATGAACGTTCTGTAAAATCTCGTACCAGACCTGCAACAATCCAGTACCCAGGTCCAACTCTTATTTCTGTTTAAAAAAGCATCCAGACTGGTCTGATGGTCTGAGCTAAGCTGGGTGTACTTAAAACAAGGAAGACGGAAAATGGATGGATACCGCTGCAGTCGGAACCAGGTGCCCATGCCACATACGCAAGATCATGCTCAGCTCCTCTGCAACAGTCTGAGATTAGTGGGAGATTGGCTACATGCTAACTCGAAGCTACAAAGAGCTTGGAGCCAAAGGGGGTTAGCTACGAACTACCAGAGCTAATTCAAATCTAACGGAGGTTTTCGAGTGCTTTAGTGTGAAAAACAAGGTTGAATGACCCAAAAGTGACGCAGCATCAACTGAAAGAGCTGCAGTGTTTCTGTGATCTCCCTCAGCGCTTCCCAGATAACGAGGACAATTGCTGCCTTGCATGGAAGCCAAGCAGCCGCACGGCTCAGCTGTCACGGGAGTGGGTGGACACCTGCTTCTAGCAACTATTCCCAGCCGGGATACAGGAAGTCGGGCGCCCGCCTCGCTGGGCTGCCTCCAGGATGATGGAGCTGCAAATCATTCACAAACCCTGTCTGGTCATGTGAAACTAAAATGGGTAGCACCGTCTTGAGGTGCCTGACCAGGACCTTCACCAGAATTTTAGCATCTACATTCAAAAGCAAAGCCGTACTATAAGAGCATAAGGGTTTGGTGTTTTAGTCTTTTTTTAAAAGCACAGAAATAACAGCTTGACGCGTATGTGGCAGAAACGACCAAGCTGTAGCGAACTCATTGAAGACCAACAACAGCAATGGTGAGAGTGGCCCATAACGTTTAGAAAGTAAGCCACCATCCTGTCTGGGAGATTTGCTTCTCGGCGTGTTGCTGATCACAGAAGCAATCTCTCTTACTCAAATATCTTTCTAGATCCTCGGCCATATCCACACTGATAAAGGGAATCGTTATACCGTCGACCAAAGCTTCAAAATCACCCTCCAGCAGAGTCGAGACAAGGACAGCAGTCGGTAAAATTGACCAAACTTGAGTTGATAGTTTCATTCAAGCATTAAGTGATCTGTAACCGCTCGTCGTCCTAGCACAAGAAAGGTACTGAAGCTGTGAAACTGGATAAATCTACTCTTTCAGAAGGGTCCTGGGACGTGGAGCCCTGCAGGTCTGATCAGCCCGTGACGCATGCCCAACTACTACCGTGGATAGTCACTTCGGAAATAAAAAAATGCTCTTCCCCCATCTGTTCATAATATGACCTGTTAGAGGTTTATTTAGAAATAATATTTTTATTACATACTTTTTCCTTTTCTCTTTCTCTGCAGACCCAACCAAGTTTTTTGGTTGTGAACTCGGCGCTCAGACCCAGTTTGATGCCAAAAACGATCGCTACATCGTAAATGGATCTCACGAGGCGAACAAGTTGCAGGATATGCTTGATGGGTTCATCAGGAAATTTGTGCTGTGTACCGAGTGCGACAACCCTGAAACTGATCTGGTGAATGAATCTACGTTTTCTCTGAAATGGATTCTAAGAGATTTTAATTCAAGGAACTAGTAAATCTAAATTTGTCTCATTGGTAATTGTAGGTTTTTGAAGGATTTTACTTTGTGGACTATAAAACGATTAGTTAATTACTTTTTCTTGGTGTTTCGATTAAATTTTAGAAACACAAATGTGAAAACAAGTAGATTAAGTCAGATTTCCAAATTCAAAAGCTAAGTGACTGTGATTGCCGTCTTTGCAGCATGTCAATCCCAAGAAACAAACCATCGGCACTTCCTGTAAGGCTTGTGGAAACCGCGGCATGCTAGACACCAGACACAAACTCTGCACATTCATCCTCAAAAACCCACCAGGTGAGAGATTCTAGTCTGTCGCCAAGTTTACAAGACAAGGAACCTCTTCTCATGCAGTCCCATAAACACGGCTGTGAAATTGTGTGCTTCACCACTAACAGAGAGCACTGACAGTGGGTCTGCATCTGCAAAGAAAGAGAAGGAAAAGAAGAACCGCAAAAAAGACAAGGAGAATGGCTCGAGCGGTGGCGAGGCTGGTAACCAAGACAACATTGATGCCCCTGAAGCTGTGGTATGTTTTTGGTTCGTCATGCACACATTTGGCATTCAGCTAGATGGATTCATCCACAAACAAACCCCCAAACTTTGTCCAAAAATAAAAACTACAACATTTACATCCATTTAGGCTCTTTTTCTGATTTTAAGGTAACAAATTAAAAATTTTCCATGAGTTTTGTATAAACGGACATCTGCGTGCCCTTCTGGTGTTCAGGATAGAGACGATGATGATGAAGACTGGGCAGAAGAGACAACTGAGGAGGCTCAAAGGCGTCGAATGGAGGAGATCAGTGACCATGCCAAGAACCTCACGCTCAGTGAAGACCTGGAGAAGCCTCTGGAGGAGAGGGTCAACCTCTTCTACAGCTTTGTGAAAGTGAGACTCTGTTCAGCTTGGACTTAGTAGATATAAAAACGCAATTAACATTTGTTTTTGTTTCCTTAATGTAACCCCAGCATAAGAAGGAAAGTGGAACCATCGATGCGGCTGATAAGGAAGTCTTGGCGGAGGCGGAGCGTCTGGATGTGAAGGCCATGGGCCCCCTCATCCTCAGTGAGCTCCTCTTCAACGAGAACATCCGGGACCAGATCAAGAAGTACAAACGCCACTTCCTGAGAGTATGTTCTAAACGCTTCCACAGCCAAACACGACTTCATATGTTTACACGACTGACTGCTCGTTGTAGACATGAACGTAAAACCTTGACCCTAAGAGTTAGTTTATGGTGGACGAACTGATGAGGAACACCTGGAGGCTTGTGTTGGAAAGTGCAGCTGCTTTACTTTGGTTTTTGCGGTTGAAGCCTTCTCCGGGTCAGGGATGAGGTCCTGCCCCAAGTGGAGGAGTTTAAGTATCTCGGGGTCTTGTTCACGAGTGAGGGAAAACTGGAGCGTGAGATCGATAGGCGGATTGGTGCTGCATCTGCAGTGATGCGGGCGTTGTACCGGTCTGTCGTGGTGAAGAGAGAGCTGAGTCAGAAGGCAAAGATCTCGATTTACCGGTCGATCTACGTTCCTACCCTCACCTACGGTCACGAGCTTTGGGTAGTGACCATAGGAATGAGATCGCAGATACAAGCGGCCAAAATGAGTTTTCTCCGCAGAATGGCTGAGCTCTCCCTTAAAGTGAGAAGCTCAGTCATCCGGGAGGGGCTCGGAGTAGACCCGCTGCTCCTCCAAATCGAGAGGAGCAAGCTGAGGTGGCTCGGGCGTCTGATTAGGACGCCTCCCTGGTGAGGTTTCCCGGGCACATCCAACTGGCACGAGACCCAGGACACGCTGGAGGGACTACGTCTCACCTGGCCAGGGAAGGCTTTGGGATTCCCCATGTGGCAAGGTGAAGACGAAAGAGCTGGACCAAGTAGCTGGGGAGATTGCTACCCTTTAAAGCTGCTTTTACATAAATCCTTTTCTTATTTTTAACTCAAAATCTTTCATTTGTTTTACTTTTTTCAGATGTTAATCTACTTCTGTTTTGAGATCATTATGTATTATTTTGTTTTGATCTTTGTGAAGCACTTAGTGATTCTACGTCTGTGATGAGTGCTATATAACTAAGTCTGGGCATCTAAGCCACAGGCAGAAGAGAAGGGATGGATGGGAAAATGTGTTGAAATGGAGAGAGAAGTGGTTTAGTCAAATGAAATCCTATCGGCATAAAATCAACGTTGTCCTTATTGTTTCAACAATCGTTGACTTTAAAAGATGAAATGAACAGTCATATATGGAGATTTTTTAAATGACTGGCGGTTAAATTCCCCCACAGTTCTGTCACAACAACAAAAAAGCCCAGAAGTATCTGTTGGGAGGCTTTGAGTGTCTGGTGAAGCTCCACCAGGTCCAGCTGCTGCCACGCGTCGCCATCATCCTCAAGGACTTGTACGACGCGGACCTGCTGGAGGAGGACGTCATATTTGCCTGGGCCGAGAGGGTGAGTCTGCGAGTGTTGGCTGTGTCTTTAGTCAGCCTGTGCTGGTTTTATGGAGACCCAAAGGAAATGACCTGAACTGGATCCTCAAGTTTTTATTAAAGTTTTCCACATATGTACTTGTGTGCCACCAGGTTTCTAAGAAGTATGTCTCCAAGGAACTTGCCAAAGAGATACACGCCAGGGCTGCTCCTTTTGTCAAGTGGCTCAAGGAGGCAGAGGAGGAGAGTGAAGGCAGTGAGGAAGAGAAGGAGGAAGAAGATGAGAACGTTGAGGTAAAATGTTTCCTTTTTGCTTTTGCAAGTGAAAGACATTACAGTACAAGCCGGTCGTTTGTATTTGTGGAGCGCTGTCATTTTTTACAATTAATGGATTTATTTTCATTATTTCTTAAGCTAATTTTCTCTAAAGGTCGTTCGGCTGTGTACGGTTGCTGCCGTGTCCGCAGCAGTCTCATGTCGTGAAGATTTTGTATGTGAATCTGCAGACTTGGGTAAATGCGACGTTGTGGGTGTTTTGTGCCTCAGGTGGTGTACTCTTCCTCTGCCCGCGAGCTCAAAGTTGAGACTGTGAAACCAGACACGCCTGAGAAGGAAGAAGAAGATATTGACATTGATGCAATCTGACAAATTTGGATGCTTCTGCTTTTCTCTTGTGTTGTGGTTTTGGCTCACAATGCCCTGTACAACATCAAATGCTTGGCTTTTCCTTCGACTCCCACCCACAGTTAGCCAGCCGCCCCCTCCCGCTTCATGGCTTGATATAATATAATGCTTTATTTGCTGCAAAGTAACTCATTCTAATCTGTATTCATTTAATTAGATGTGTGGAGTTTACTCAAAGGTGTATGAATCTTTGTGACTCTACCCCATCTCCCCCTTTTTTGTAGCTTTTTTTGTCAATAAAGATTTTTTGCTATCCACCTCAATTAATTGGTCTGAATGATTTATTATCCATTGTCTAAGTAACTATTAATTATTAGTGTTTCTTTGCAGTTTTATCTGTTTCAAACAACCAAAGCATAAATGATTTAGCTGTCAGCAAAAATGACATTTTTCTCTTCACAACTCAGGCGCTTTCCCTGTCAGCCTGACTGGTTCTAGTGTTACCAGAAGTAACGGTGGCCATTACGATCTTCACTGACACTCGGCTTTGAACCACGCTGCTAAAAAAGAAATTGAACACAAAAATAAGACATTTTAGATCTGAATCAATTAAATACGTTGGCGAGCGCCTGGCTTTCACCCATGGAGCCCGGCCGGGCACAGTCCGAAGGGGAAACATGGGTCCCCCCCTCACATGGGCTCACCACTCGTGGGAGGGTCTAAACGGGTCAGGTACAGTGTGTAACGTGTAGTAGACCTTGGCGGTCTGATCTCGTTACAGAAGCTGGCTCTTGGCACACGGAATGTCACCTCTGGTGGGGAAGGAGCCTGAGTTGGTGTGTGAGGTTGAGAGGTTCTGACTAGATCTAGTCGGACTCACCTCAACGCATGGCTCTGGCTCCGGATACAGTTTCCTTGATAGGGGTTGGACTGTCTACCACTCTGGAGTTGCTCCCACTGAGCAAGGGACTGTTGGTAGTGCCAAAGCACAGGCTTCCATCATGAGGATGTTGTACCTTCTCAATACTGTGGCTGAAGCTCTGGAATGATCTGCCTGCTGGGGCAAAGCAGTCTGGCGAACTCTGGTGTTCAGATGGGGTACTGCAACAACAAGACTAATGTTCCAGCCTCTGGGATGTTGGTTTACTGCTGACACGTTCCAGCACCACGTTCAGAGACAAATTTTACAGGATAAGGACTAATTTCAACTAATAAGTTTATTTTACAACAGTGTTTATCGTTAGAACATCTTCTGGGCTCAGAATCAGCTGCTTGACTTGTCAATTCCGCCATTTTGCACAGCCTTGCTGAGGACTTTTAACACAATGATGCCCTCTGGTGGCTGGCAGATGTAAACATCAACAGCGTCGTGCCCGACAGAATTAAAATGAGATTTTTTAAAAAATCTTATTAAATATAGGTTTAAAAAGGAGAAACTGTACATTCATTCTGTACACCTCTAAACGCCCCATGGAGGTATTATTTTTAAATATATCTTTTTATTGAAATGTTCCGTATTCTAACTTTAACACCTTCATCTAACAGCTGAAATGTCTCCCAGCCTTCCTTAGTGTCTAGAGGGGTGATTCATCACTAAACAAAACTAATCAGCTTTGTTCATGATATAAAACATGCAGGAAACATCCTGGAGCCAGACTGCAGCGCCAGCTATGGCCAGCAGATCAGACAGGCAACTGTGAAGTTGCAAGTGCAATATTCTGGCCACAGAGGGCGATAGGGGCTGGGTGGCCTTTCATTAATCCCGTAAACCAGTGGTATGATCACACGTGCGGCAGCTCATCAGGCTCTGCAGAAGCTTGTTAATCACCTGCTGATTAAAATCAGGTGTGTCGAAGCAGCAAAGCAAACAACCAAATCGCACTGGAGACTGGAATTGAACAGCCCTGCTGTGACGGGTCATTTTAGCACAAACTGTCTCAAGAAAATGATTTAAAATATGAAAAAGTTTAAAAGTATCCCTGTTTTTACTTTTATATGTCAAAATGTGTCATGTCTTGTTGTACAGTGCTTTGTTTATCCCTCGGGCCATGTGAAGGCACAATATCAATAAAGTTGATGAGGATGATGATGATGAATACTGACCTTTGAACTGAAATAGATCAGAGTTAAACTAAGGACAGCACTTGCTCAGGAGGTAGATCAGGGTTGTCCAGTAATCGTAAGGTTGCAGGTTTGATCCTGGCACCGACCAGAGAATGCTGCTGTTGTGTCCTTGGGCAAGGCACTTTACTCACCTTGATTGCAGGCGGTGGTCAGAAGGACCGGTGGCGCCTGTGTTCGGCAGGCCTCGCCTCTGTCAGTGTGCCCCAGGACAGCTGTAGCTACACTGTAGCTCATCCCCTCCAGCGTGTGAATGTGTGAATGACTGATTGTGTTGTGAAGCGCCTTGAGGGGGTTCTAGAACCCTAAAGGTGCTATGCAAGTACAGGCCATTTCAGCTAAACTTTATGTATATTAAACATAATTTATTGTTTTTAAAGAATATTGTAGTTTTTAAATCTATAATAAAGCATTTCTGAGTAAAAAGATGGCTGCAGAATTTGTTTTGTTCATCGCAGACTTTTGCTATTTAGAGAATAGTCCTGTGGGGACCTTATATTGTTCCTGTGGGTGTCATGGTGCACCAGGTTGGTGACCCCTGGTCTAGCACAAGCTTCCAGCTGCACTTGTGCTGTGACATCAACTGTAGAACACTATTGATTGTTCATCAGTGTTCCTTCCCTAGTGGACAATTTGATTTCACAGAAGTGTAATTGACTTGTAGTTCAATAGTGTTTATTTTTACCTGTTCTCTTAATTTTTTGAGCAGTGTATTTGAGAAGTATTTGGTTTTGTGACACAATAAAATCTGAGGGAGGTGAAAAGTGTATCAGGAAGTACACTAGTTAAAATAGCTTTTGTCATTTTTATTAATCCAGTCATACAACATTAAAATGAAGGATTTTGATTGACAACACCTTTCTACATAGTTTTAAAATGTTGCATAGTTACTGGATATTGTAATAATACATTTGATAGTATTGTGGCATAGCAGAGCCAAGCAGCCTGCTCAGGGGGGCCGCAAAGACTTATGGGCTCTTCAGTGTTATCTTATGGTTTGACGTTATATTTTTGTGTTTTCATCGATACCTGTTCTTCAATTATCCTTAAAGTTCTGTTGGTGTCAATATTTGGTGGTATTTGTTCATCACCATGATAGAGAAGGGGGTGCATGAGAATGGCCTGCCAGACATTTAATTAACTGCAAGTCGGTGATTGCAAAAGCTGCAATTAAACGGCCCCTCAATCCGTTTTTGACACTTGAGGTGTGCAATTAAGCTTCTCTCCCCAGTGACTCATTTCCTGTGATGTCACAGTGTTTTCTTACATGGAAAATATGTATTATCATTAAGATCTAACGAAACATAGGTTATGTTATTCAGATTGTATGATCAACGTGTTGAAGAGATCATTGGGAGTCATTAAGAAAATAGTTTAAAAAAACGATTTTTACGTGTTTTTAATCTGCTAGTACGTTTCTCGTTTACCGAAAAACGGTGTAAATGAAAGTACTCTTTAATCCATGTTGACTTCTCTTCATGAACAGTTTGTTCTAAATAAGTGTAAAAAGCCAAAACTACATCTAAACGACAGTGGGGTAACGTCCGAGCATGTGAGGGCTCCCTGAACGCAGCCCAATCCCGCCCAGTCGCTCAGGAGCCATTTTGGTCCCACCTAAATCAGAAGAGACCCGCTTCTCTTTGGGCCGCCGGAGATGGAAGGAACCGAACCCACGGCGAACCTGTCAGTGTCCCGGAGCCACCGAGAAGAATCCAAATAGTCACATCTGTTGCTGAACGGATTTGTCTTTTAGGGAGGAGGAAAGAAAAAAAAAATCGTGTTTTGACGACCATCGATGCCTTCACTGACTCAAAGACAAACGGACACTGATTTCGTCTGTGTTTCGGGTGGAAAACAGGCCATGGATAGTTTCTCTGCGTCATGTAAAAACTAAAAATCTCATTTTGTACTCTTTAGTGAGTTTTTGTTTCGCTGCCTAGTATCCCCGGTGGTTGACTTTATCACGTCCGGTCTTGTCTGAAGATTGTCACAATCCATGCTGAGGTTTTATCACGAAGAGCTACAAATCAAAGCAGACAGTAACTAGATTTTTCGACGGTCCTGCTTCAGACCATATTTTGCACATTAAACACGACTAAAGATGACAACCAAGACCCCTTTACCTACGGTCAACGAGAAGCTGACGGAAAGTGTGAGTACCGAAGGTTGTTTTTCTGGTTTGTTGGGTTGTGAAGTAAGATTAAACAGCGGTCTTTAGGTCAGTTCTGTTGCTTCTTACTGGGCAACGAATTGTTTTAGTGTGTGTGTGTGTGTGTGTGTGTAGGGGTACACTTTTGTGGTAAATC